AACGGTGTATTAAAGGTGCGTATTTTATTATCTTTATCGAACTGAAGTTACATAAATTAAATATTATTATATCTTTAGTCACTTTCGTTCTTGTTCGAGTATATTGGAGAAATGGGCAAAGACTACATTTATGCCGTAACACCTTTGTTGGAAGATGCGTTGATGGACCGGGATCTAGTTCACAGGCAAACTGCGTGTACTACTGTAAAACGTATGTATATCCATAAATAATGGTGCAAGTCGTAAAAAAGACATGTGCACTCAGAAACTTATTTTACTTTACGTTTAGATATGTCTCTTGGTGTTTTTGGTCTTGGGTGTGAAGATGCCTTACTTCATCTACTGAACTACGTTTGGCCAAACATTTTCGAAACATCTCCTCATGTCATAAATGCCGTCATGGAGGCAATTGAGGGATTGAGAGTCGCAATCGGTCCTACTACAATTTTGCAATATGTCCTACAGGTTTGTAATTGATATTTCTGCTTTTTAAATTAATGCACATTATTTAACTTGCATTTTATAAATTTCTTGTAGGGTTTATTCCATCCTGCTCGTAAAGTTCGTGAAATCTATTGGAAAATATATAATAATTTATATATCGGCGCACAAGACGCTTTGATTCCATACTATCCACGTATAGAGGATGATGAAAGGAACAATTATGAGCGTTATGAATTATCGATGTGGCTCTAATTTCTGCAGGAAACGTAATGTTTCTTAATTCTTAAGTGTTTATCTTTTAATATTATACTTTCTAAAAAAAAATTCCCACAAACAGAAATGCATCCTATTAAGGAATTGTAACAAATATTCTTGGGGGTTTAAATTCTCGACAATAAAAAATAAAGTTATTTGGAATTGTACTTCTGGTTTTAGATTCGAAATTCTTAGAACATATCAAACCTATGAAATGTAAAAACGAAAAAAAAGGATATAAAGTTTATTTAATTCTTTAAATTTATAAAAAAAAGTTGATAAAACAAAAATTATAAAAAAAAGAGCTTAATTTTATTTTTTAATTTGTATTAGGGTTTCAAGATAAACTCGAATAAATAAATTATAAAATAAATTATAAAATAAATTCCTTTTTAATGTTATATCAAATATAATTATTTAAAATGATATTTTTTATAAAATACATACTGTACAAGCAATAATAAATTATTCTAATAAAAAAAAATAGAATTAAGATATTTCCGTTTAGAATTCTTTGAATTTTTGAGTCACAAGATGTTTTAATAGAATGTGTTACTAGATTTCTAGAACATATGAATAACACGTATTACTAAATTAAGGAAAATTTGGTAGTACATACACCATTTCTAAATCGAAAAATCGAAATTAGTTAAATATTTAAATTACCGAAAGTTGGGTTAACTAATTTTTTTTTTTTAATAAATTTTTTCGAAATAAAGCATTGACATGGAAGGTTCACATAGCTTTAAGAAAGAACATGATAAATGCCCCGGATGTAAAAACCTCGACCAGTGTACAGATTGTTATTCTGAACAATTTCTGCCTGTTAATAGCGGAAATTTTGATATCGACAATTTAATTAAAGCAACACATAGAAATAATATTCGATATAGGTTAGAGTGGATCCCATTTGAAGATTTTACGGATGTCCAAGAAGTTGAAGAGGGCGGATTTAGTATTATATCCACTGCTATATGGATAAAAGGAAGAGTTACGAGTTATTCTGGAGGGAAACTTAATCGGAAAGGTCGTATGAAAATTATATTAAAAGTCCTTAAAGATTCTCAAAATATAAACTCGGCATTTATAAAAGAGGTAAAGTAAAAACTTTTGCTTGCTTAATTCGTAAATAATAGGTTACTAAAATACGTTAAATCTTTCTTTAGTTACATAATATTGCTAAAACACAACCCAATTCCCCTAAGCGTTATGTTGTTCATTATTATGGAGTATCGCAGGATCCAATAACAAAAAATTATATATTTGTTATGGATTATATGAAAAATGGAAGTTTGCATGATTATTTATCCAAGAATTTTGATGAGATCAAATGGATGGACTGGAGAAAAAGTAAAAAAATAAAAGTAAATTTCCTAAAGAGTCTCGTTATTGGAATTAAATGGATTCATCAAAATAACATTATACACCGCGACATACACAGCGGAAATATATTAATACATGAAAATGAAGATTCATTAGTTGCCGATTTGGGATTTAGTCGACCCGCGAATGAGGATCCAGGATTAAGTGTATACGGAATTATGCCATATATCGCGCCCGAGATATTTAATAAAAAACAATTTTCATTTAGTTCCGATATCTATAGTTTAGGCATGATCATGTGGGAGTTAACAACAGGGAATCGTCCTTTTATTGATCGAGCGTATGATGTCAATCTTGCGTTAGATACATGTAGAGGACTACGTCCTAAAATCACGGAGGATACACCAAAACTGTGGGCTATTTTAATGAAAAAGTGTTGGCATCAAAATCCTTTACAGAGACCTTCAATTGATGATATACATCAAATAATTAATTCTTCTGAATGGGAATTTAGTGAAACATTCTATAATGCAGAACAAAAACGACAAGAAATAAAATTTAGGAAACTTGCACAGGAACAAAGAATTTTGCATAAATCATTTAGTCAGTTATTAGATCCAATCATAGAAACTACAAGTTATACTTTAAATTTATATACAAGAGCGGGATCATTGTCAGGTAATGATCAATTTTTTTTTAATAAATGATATCAACTACCATTTATTATGATTTCTTATAAAAACTATTTTTATAGAATCTTCCTCTATGTGTTCTTTAGATATTATGGAAGATGCGTAAGTAAATTTACGTTTGAAGAAATTAAGAATTGTATAACTAAAGTTTACTAATTCAATACTTATCCAGTTCCGAACTCACAAAATGTGCCAGTTATTTGAAAGATAGTAAAAGTTTATCGACTTCATTAAAGCATACTATTCATTTTTTGCCGAATGAAAAAACTAGTAAGTTTAAATTTAAAATTTGCTAAATAGTCATTTATTATTAAACTTATATGTTACATATAATAGGTCAAATAAAGCGCCGAAAATTGATTAGCTATGATGAAAAAGTCACGTGTGATGGTAATATATTATTTCACTTTTAAATTAGCTCATTACCTAATTACAATATTGATTACATAATTTAACGAATTTTTCTATTATATAAAAAAGTCACTTAACGTTTAATTATTTACATTAGTAGGTAAACCAGTATCATATTTACCTAATTTAAACGAAGTTATGTCAAGTAATGATGGAAAAGTGTGGGTCGATTATCTATGCGGAGATATTTCAGTAACCGAGTTAAACATAAGTGGTAAAAATCTAAACAATGACGGGATCAGAGGGTTGATTATAGGTTTATGCAATAACGTCACCCTGACCGATTTAGATATAAGTAATATTAGTATAGAAGGACCAGCAAGAATATCACTGTTCAAGGCACTATTCAAGAATACTAGCCTGACTAATTTAGATATTAGTTGGAATATGATAAGAGAATTGGAAGGAAAGGCACTGTCTAAGGCTCTATGCAAGAATACCACTCTGAAAAATTTGAATTTGAGTAATTGCTATTTAGAAGAATCGGCAGGAAAGGCACTGGCTGAAGCTCTATGCAAGAATACCACTCTGACTCATTTGAATTTGGATAATAACAACTTGGGAAAATCGGCAGGAAAAGCACTGGTTGAGGCCCTATGCAAGAATAGCACTCTGACTAATTTGAATTTGTATAATAACAATTTAGAAAAATCGGTAGGAAAAGCACTGGCCGAGGTTCTATGCAAGAATACAACTCGGACCGAGTTAAATATAGGTTGGAATAGGCATGGTATAGGAGAATCGGAAGGAAAAGCACTGGCTGAGGCTCTATGCAAGAATACCACCCTGACTAATTTGAATTTATATGATAACAATTTAGGAGAATCGGCAGGAAAAGCACTGACTGAGGCTCTATGCAAGAATTCCACTCTGACCAAGTTAAATATGGGAAGAAATAGTATAGGAGAATCGGCAGGAAAAGCACTGGCTGAGGCTCTATGCAAGAATATCACCCTGACTAATTTAAACCTATCTTACAATAGTGTAGGAGAATCGGCAGGAAAAGCACTGGCTGAGTCTCTATGCAAGAATACCACTCTGACCGAGTTAAATATAGGTTGTAATAGTATAGGAGAGTCGACAGGAAAATCACTGGCTGAGGCTCTATGCAAGAACACCACTCTGACAGTGTTAGATATTAGTAGTAATGGTATAGGAGAGTTGGCAGGAAAAGTGTTGGCTGAGGTTCTATGCAAGAATACCACTCTGAAGATATTAAAAATAAGTAGTAATAATATAGGAGAATCGGCAGGAAAAGAACTAGCTGAGAATCTATGTAAGAATACCACTCTGACGGCGTTAGATATAAGTGGTAATGGTATAGGAGAATCGGCAGGAAAAGCACTGGCTGAGGCTCTATGCAAGAATAACACCCTGACTAATTTGAATTTGCGGTATAATAATTTAGGAGAATCAGCAGGAAAATCACTGGCTAAGGCTCTATGCAAGAATACAACTCTGACTGAGTTAGATATGAGTTGGAATAGTATAGGAGAATCGGCAGGAAAAGCACTGGCTGAGGCTCTATGCAAGAATACCACTTTGATGGTACTAAATATAAGTAGTAATCGTATAGGAGAATCGGCAGGAAAAGTACTGGCTGAGGCTCTATGCAAGAATATCACCCTGACTAATTTAAACTTATCTTATACTAGTATAGGAGAATCGGCAGGAAAAGCACTGGCTGATGCTCTATGCAAGAATACTACTCTGACAAATTTGAATTTGCGGTATAATAATTTAGGAGAATCAGCAGGAAAAGCACTGACTGAGACTCTATACAAGAATACCACTATGACAGTGTTAGATATAAGTAGTAATAATCTAGGAGAATCGACAGAAGAAGCACTGGCTGAGGCTCTACGGAAGAATACCACCCCGATGGTATTAGGTATAAAGTGGTAATAGTATAGGAGAATGGCAGGAAAACACTGGTCTAGGCATTATTCAGGAATAAATACCACCAGAATAAGCATAGAAAAATTGAAGCGTGATTTATTTTAAATAGATTTTGCATCAAAATTTTTGTTATTGCGATAAAGAAAGATTATGAAAATTTCTATAATTGGTGGGCGAATTAAGGGCGCAGTAACGTGCGTCACGTAATTAGTGAAATATTTGGGAAATTAGAGTAGATGACGTATGTAAACATGCATCTAGCAAAGAAAAACGATTGCATGTGTACGATGTGCAATGTGCATTTAGCATTCAAAATAAAATTTTTAAAGTAGAAACTCTTGCCTGCGTTACCTGTTATACCTGTTGTGTGCGTGCTTATAACATTATCACGTGATTAATTGAGCCAGGTTTGTCTATACAGTATGGATTGGGAAAGTTCTAGCAACTAAACAGGGTTCAAAGTATTAGCAAAGATGTGCGAAGTTAGCGAGCGACAGAAGACCGGTCAAATTGATAAACACCAAAAACGTATACCTCATATCGAGAATCCCTGTAACAATATGTTGATTGATTTAAAAGAAAGTCTAACATACGGTTCCCTTTTCGATTCATTTGAGCCAACTTTTACCAATTATGAAAAATTCCTTAAATACTTTGACTAAATGTTATAGTTCGTATTTTTTATGCCTATTTTGAATTTTAATTAATTTTATGTATGTGATTCAAATTAATTAAACGACCTAAAATAAGGTACACTGTAAGAATACAATCAAAGCCTTTTCATAAGACTTACGAATAGCCAAAATCTCATTTCACGTTATTTTACAAAAAACTAGGACTCAACATTTATTATTAAAAAAATGTTAGTCCTATAAAGTTCGTTTTTTTTCAATTCTTGCTGTTGAAAAATTTTTTTGAAATAATATCATAATCTCGAGTGATGTTAATATTAGGAAAAAGCGGGAATAGAGCGGATAAGGTAAGCGCTATTATTAACTACATTGGCCGGGATCACGTGTAATTTATTGATTGATCAACGGTTCCGTTTTATATGGATCGGCTACACGTTTTTATTGATATCCTGAGATTTATCAATGATATCAAACGTATAACCATATTTCATATTTAATATTTCAAGAATTTTTATTCTCTTTCTATAACTAGACATAACTTTTTAATAATTTCTCATAAATTAAAGTGTTGACGTATAAATGATTTTTGAGTTTCAACCGTGCGTTTCTTAAGAGGAGGGTTTACAATATACCATTTAGCTTCTCGGCCAAAAGGACCAAAACAGTATTATCGTTGTTGTAAGTAATTTTATTTTCATAAGACATCTTAACAAGTGAAGCGAAACGGAAACTATATTATACGCATATTATATAATCACTAATTCATATTATGCATCCCGATAAAATCAAATTTCACTATCACCATGTAACAAATCACTTATTTTTGTATCTATACTGGCATAAATATAATACATTATACTATGACCGCTGTACGATAACTATCCGAAAATGCGGGGTATTAGTGAAAACGCGACTTTTACTGTATATAGAGTATATCAAAATGTCGATCTATCAAAAACGAAACACAACTGAGGCCACTATAAAATTACATTATGATTCAACGCACTCGTTAAGAGGCTCGATTGTCCAAACTCATAACATACGGCATTTTGACGCAAAATCCAATAAAATTTGGACGCGAACGTTTAATTGTTTATTCATTTTACATGTTACAAATGAATGATCTTATAACCACCTGTTAATAAGTATTTCCTTTCTTTTGTATCCTTCCAACTCTTCCAAGAAGATATATAATGGCTAAGCAGTTACCATAGACCACAGTCGCACCATCTCGTCTTCATTTCCTGGTTTCGATTAGATGTTACTGTATTTTATGAGAATGTCACACTATTAAAAAACCGGTACTGCATGTCCCTTTAATATATGTGTAATCTCTAATGTTTTGACATAAAAAAGATAAAATTTTTCTTAATACCACTAGTAATGACTCTGTCTGGAGAACAGAATGTCGCAATTACGCCTTTGAAAATAACATTTCTTAAATCTTCTATTTTAAATTAATTGTAATCAAACAAACCGTACTCAAACTCACTCTAGAAATATGAATGTCATTTAGTTTCCTGCGACCATTTCTGCCTTGCTTAAAATTACGATTGCATTTGGTGCCGCGATTTCGAAATTAGTGTCTTCTTTCGATTTTTTCAATAAGGTCATAAGAATTTTCTTTGAATTTATAATATATTGTGCATCCTTTTGAACTTTCATCCTCTTGTGCATACTGTACTAGGTTAGAAAGTGAACAACTTCAGGCTTACATAGTATTAAATTTTCTTCAAATATATATACAGTATCTAGTTTTTTGACGTTCAAATAAAGATTGCGGATAAATCGATATTTTCACCATTGTGTTTTAAAGGAGAGTTGTAATGCAAAAGTTGTATCTTCAGATCATTATATTCAAAGAATTACTATAATACTACTTCATTTGCTTTAACCATATTAACTGTCAAGTTTTTTTTTAAATCAAATATAATGTCGCGTATATAATTTTCATTCAATTCTTTAAAGCTTATTTTTCTTTTAGCATTATATTATTTGAATAAGATAAAGGATTTACTAAATAACTGGCTGAATGAGAAATACGCTTTAAAATGTTTTCTATACACTACATATCCAATAGCGTGATTTTTTTTTTCAGTGTGTTTAATAATATATTCTCGAATATTTTCTTTATTGGCCACAATTACTGAAAAAACTTTGGACTGAGATTTGAAATCAATATTCTGGTTGGCAACTAATTATAGAACCGACTGAGACGAAGTCACGGGAGGGTTATTATCGCGAGGATCAGGACCTGGTTACAATTTTTGACTGTGTGTGATTAAGTAAAAATGATGTAATAAGGTTTCACTGACAAATCAAGGATAGTATGATTACGTAAGAAATCAAAATAAAGCTATGGACGTTTGAATAGGTGATGTTTTTGTGTTTTGTTCTGCTGCTACGTTTGCCCGAAACTTTTGATTTCCGGCTTATCGAAGTATCCAAAGAACATGTCTTTAGCCAAAACACGCCTACGAAATGTTAAGAACAAGGATATTACTGACGAGATTACCACACAAAATGACATAAGAAAATCAAACATGTCATTAGAAGAACTTTGAAACCTTTGTCAACTTTTGAATCTCGACTCTAGGGGAAGTAAACCAGATCTTATCGACCGTTTGAGGAAAATAAGTACTGGTTCAGATTTATCTTTACGTGAATCATGTGAGCGAATGGACACTGGGAATTCAGATGATCTGCAAACCATGCTTCAAGAATGCGAAAATTCAACTTCCGAACCTTCGTGTGAAAGTGATAATGATGAAAATGTAAAAATAAGTTCAAATTCAACAAGAAACAGTGCCAAACGATTGAAAACAAAAGGTGATACAAATGAATTGAAAGTTCTTTTAAAAGAGATTAAATATCTCGGGAATGATATAAAAAATATGGAGGAAAAAGTTGAGACAACGAATATCAAAACCACAATCAGAGATACTTGGCTAGACAGAAAATTTGAGAAATTATGTGATCAACACGAATACGATACTTTGTGGTCAATTGGTCAGGAATTGGATTTAGCGCTAAATACAACTTCTGGAACCGAAGCTTTACAATATGTTGAAAATGCACGCACAATGTCGAAAGAAAGAATGGTTGTTTTAAATGTTGCAAGTAAATATGGTTGGGACATAGCTGCTGAATTACCACAATCTAAAAACAAAATTATATTTGAATATTCAGAAGCGATTGAAAAAGCAAAACAAGCAGCATCACTTAAAAAGAGTAGTAAACAGAAGTATTTAGAAGAGAAACAGTTTTTTCGGAATGGAAATAATGAGAAACAGTATGACAAAATTAAATTTAAGACAGGATCGAAATTTGAAGATAGAGAAGAGAAAGGAAAGATCATTTGCTACAACTGTGGTGGAATCAGACATTATGCAAACAGCTGCTCCTCATCTAAATCAGACAGAAGTGCTATTAGAGCAAAATCACCACAAAGTTATGAGTGTACAAATCAAACATCTTATCGCAAATATACCAGTTGACTACACTTGGGATTCTACACAATCAGTAATTGGAAATCTAAACAAACCAGAAACAATAAAATTTTGGAGAGAAGAGATAAAATCATCAGCAATAGTTTTGAGTTGGTTAAAATGAGGAGTACTATTATTTCCAAAAGGATTACTTCATCTGGTATCTTCAAAGAAACTGAAACAATACTCAATAACACAGGAACAAGAAAAATGGTTAATAACAGAACTTGTTCAATTAGAAAATGAAGGAGCAATTCAAAAAATAGATACAGGATCCTTAAGACCTGATTTTTTAATGGAAGTAAGTCCAATATTTTTGCACCCCAAAAAAGGTTTGAAAAAGTGGAGATTAATAGTAGATCTCAGAAGACAACAAAACACTACTAGAGAAAATCTTCTGTTTCGAAGGACTAAATACATTTATCTGTACTGTGGAAAAAAATTAGTGAGTGATTGTATTGGACTTGAAAGAGGGCTATTATTATGTATTAATGACAAGGGAAGCACAAAATTACTAGGATTCCGTTACAAAGAAAATTGGTTCCATTACCGGATTTTACCTTTCAGTTTAAATCAAGTAGTATGGATTTTTTCAAAAATTATGTGTATATTAATAGGGCATTGGAGATCAAAAGGAATATTTTGTGGCAATCACATCGATGACATTTGGATAGCACATTCAAATCGGGAGGAATTAATAAAAATAAGAGATATCATAATAATAAAAGACTTAACTTATGGAGAATTTGTTCTAGCTGAAAAAGGATATTGGGAATCTACTCAAACTTCAAAATTTTATGGTCTAATTTTAGATATAGTAAAGGTTTCAATAATTATACCAGACAAAAAATTAATTGCTGCAATATAAGTATTAAAAAACTTAATTCAAATGAAGAAAATATTAGTTTAATACTTAGCTTCAGTAATGGAAACATTGATAAGTCTAAGCAAGGCATTTGCATCAGCAAAAGTATAATATTTAGAATTTTACACAATAATAGATTCAGTGAACCAGAAGTCTTGGGAATAGGACAAAGAAGTATATCTATCAAATCAAGTAAGATTCGATATTGAATGACTTATCAAAAATTTAAAAATAAAAAATGGTCAGCCTGTATGAAAACTATTTCAAATATTATCTCTTTTTGTAAATGCTTTAACAACAGGTTGGTCAACAATTTATCTAAACAAAAACGTCTTTGGGAATTGGAATCAAAAATATCATTACACTCAAATAGCAAAATTGGAATCAGAAGCTGCTTTATTAGAACTAAAATCTTTTAAAAAGAACTTAGCACACCATTGGATAACAATATTTATCAACTGGTTGACTGGTTTCTAATTCATGTCATATCCAATCAGCCGACAAATCTATCTCCAAATTTAGTTAGGCTGCATGAAGATGGAATCTCTGGTCTTTCTGACAATCGTGGGCTGAAAACAGGTCGAAGCAAAGAAGGTTGCACAAGGAAAGACTTCTGGTCTAACTTCGGTAATAAGTTCATAAACTCTAATCCAAACTGATGACAACAGATTCTGTCACATAATATAAATAGGTTAATCCTAAGCTGATCTATCCCAATCTGAAGCTTGTAAATCTATCCCAATGGTGGTGTTCCACAGAACTTAATCAGATGACCGAAAAGCAAGGTATCAGCCACAGGTGGTGAGAAGATTAGACAAAAATCATTAATAGTTAAGTGAGTCTAGTGAGGATATATAAGATTAAATCAGAATTCAAGCAAGGATGCCAGTTCTATAGGTGGTAAAAATGGTAATGTGATGTTATGCTAGTGGCACATCCTGAGGATCAGTGATAACAGTGACTGGAATACTGGGGTTAGTCTCTATAATAATATTTCATAATAACTTGCTCACTGCAATAATGGATTAGCAGGTTTTAGGCGGGTTTAAACTAGTGGTAGGATTTCCCCCCTGCAAAAGTCCCACCTGATGTGTGGACACATCCCTGAGATGTTTAAAATGGACACATAGTTAGGTAATAGTTGGCTTATAGAAAACCGGTACTACTGGAAACGGTAATCACTAGGTAGCATTAATTTACATTCTAGAATAGCAATAGTTTAGTCTGTAAAGATGTTTGATGTAATGACAGTACTATTAATTTAGTAAATAAAGTCCCATATCTAATACTCTTAGCCAACTTAAAAAAAAAAAAACTATTTATCAACAACAAAGTTACAAGAAGAATATTGGAAATGGAAGAAAAAACACTATGGCAAAAAGATCATATGTGAAAAATTTCAGATTTTTGTGACAAAATAGATATTTGGATTTACTAATTTCATTGGATATTAAGTTAAGAAAACTCAGTAGATGCATTAACAAGACATTTCGAGGTCTTTAAGTATATATTTTTAATTTAATATTTAAAAGAAACAAATATAAAAATTATATATATACTGTATATAAATTTATTAGTTTTTTACATATATTAAATTCAAAAATTTGAATTATAATTAAATTTAATTAAGTTGCATAATGTAATAAATCTATAGACATTCAGCGAAAATTCCAATTTTTTTTGAAAAGTCAGATGACAACCTCTCAAACAATTTTAAGAGACTATAGATATTTTATGAGAGAAATATCTTTTATTAATGATCAAAAAGACATTGTCTATACTAATTTCTCAATAATTTATGATTTAGACTTCTGATTAAAAAACACTAATGATTAGATTAAAATACATATCTAAAGTCACATGGTATCTACTGATCCCAAAGCTCTAAAGTGACATGAAACCTGAAACTTATAATTCAGCATAATTGTACTAATTAACATGTGTTATCAATTAGTGATTAATATCAAGAAGTTATAGGATATTATTAATGTGTTTGATTAATATTATAATTTATTTAATATCTTGTTTTATTTTCTTTTTTTTTATTATTTCATATTATTTTCCAGAAGAATCACTAAGATTATATGTATATTATTCTTTATGTATTTTTATTTTATTTAATTATATTGGAAAAACATGTATTTAAAAATTGTATTTTTTCTTTAATTATCTTTAGAGTTGTCTGCTCCACTCTCTATTAATAAAGTTTTTCTTTAATAATGATAAACTATTAATGACCAACATGTTTCTTTATTTAAACCATTACACATAAAGATATAATTTTTAATTATTTTAATATTAATAGGTTAAAATCATATTGAAGTAAAATAAATTATATAAAGAAAGATTTTTAATTTAACTTTATAAAAATATATAATTTAAAACTGTTATGGCAAATATTATAGTACAAAAAGTACTCTAGCTTGAAGTTATATTAATATAATATTCAAAAGAAGGTTATATAGCATGTTATATAAGTAAAAAATACATTAACAAAATAAATAGAGTAATATGTGTTGATTAGTAATACTCTGAATACATATTGATTATAATTCCTCTTGCTGATTATTATCAATTTAAATAGAAATTGATATATATCAGAATTTATTGATTTTGATTTAAAATTTTAAAAATATTGATCTATAACAATATAATCATTTTTTTATTATTTAATTCTTTAAATTTATAAAAAAAAGTTAATAAAACAAAAATTATAAAAAAAGAGCTTAATTTTATTTTTTAATATGTATTAGGATTTCAAAATAAACTCGAATAAATGAAATAAATAAATTATAAAATAATTCCTTTTGATGTTAATGTTATATCGAATATAATTTCTGTATTTGAAATGATTTTTTATAAAATACAATATACTGTACGTTATATTAAAAAGATAAAAAATATTGTACGAAGAAATATAAATTCGCAAAATCTTTATTACTATGACAAGTTATATAGTATAAGCAATATAAATTATTCTAATTAATGTTAGGATATTCTGTTTAGAATTCTTGGAATTTTTGAAAGTCACTTTTTTCGCGAGATGCTTTAATACTGTACAGTAGAATGCAGCAGAGATTTTTTACCAAATAGATCGTCACGTAGTGAAAAACTTGCAAATTTGGCGTTTTGCGGCGTATAATTGGCTTACAATTTCCGAATTTTTTATATACCGGAAAAATGATCCGAAAATATATATTTACAGTATTACAGTACGGAAATTTCACTAGAAAACAATGCAAATACAGCTGTATGCATGCTGCATAAATGTGCATAGAGAACACCTCCATGTCTTTTATTTTTGGTAAAAAATCTCTGCTGTAGAATGCGTTACTAGATTTCTAGAACATGAATGGCGTGCATTACTAAATTAAGAAAATTCCGGTAGTACATAACCATTTCTAAATTTAAAAATCGAAACTAGTCAAATAAATATTTAAATCACAATGTTGATTAATTAATTTTTTTTTTCGAAAAAGCATTGACATGAAAGGTTCACATAGCTTTAAGAAAGAACATGATAAATACCTCGGATATAAAAGGTTTCCTGTTAATAGCGGAAATTTAGATATCGATAATTTAATTAAAGCAACAAGTAAAAATAATATTCAATATAGGTTAGAGTGGATCCTATTTAAAGATTTTTGCGATGTCCAAGAAGTTTCAGAGGGCAGATTTAGTATTATATTCACTGCTATATGGATAAAAGGAAGGGTTACGAGTTATTATGGAGGAAAACTTAAGCGGAAAGGTCGTATGAAAATTATATTAAAAGTCCTTAAGGATTCTCAAAATATAAACTCGGCATTTATAAAGGAGGTAGTGTAAAAAATTTTACTTGCTTAATTCGTAATTAATAGAGTATTAAAATACGTAATCTTTCTTTAGTTACATAATATTGCTAAAACACAACCAAACTCCTCTAAGCGTAATCTTGTTCGTTGTTATGGGGTATCGCAAGATCCAATAACAAAAAATTATATATTTGTTATGGATTATATGAAAAATGGAAGTTTGCATAAATATTTATCCAAAAATTTTGATGAGATCAAATGGATGGACTGGGGAAAAAGTAAAAAAACAAAAGTAAATTTCCTAAGGAGTTTCGTTATTGGAATTAAATGGATTCATCAAAATAACATTATACACCGCGACATACATAGTGGAAATATATTAATACATAAAAATGATGATTTAATAATTGCCGATTTGGGATTTAGTCGACCCGCGAATGAGGATCCAGGATCAAGTGTATACGGAATTATGCCATATATCGCGCCCGAGATATTTAATAAAAAACAATTTTCATTTAGTTCCGATATCTATAGTTTAGGCATGATCATGTGGGAATTAATAACGGGGAATCGTCCTTTTTATGATCGAGAGTATGATGGTAATCTTGCGTTAGATATATGTAGAGGATTATGTCCTAAGATCACCGAAGATACATCAGAATTGTGGGCTAGTTTAATGAAAAAATGTTGGCATCGAGATCCTTTACAGAGACCTTCAATTGATGATATACTTCAAATAATCGATTCTTCTGAATGGGAATTTAGTGAAACTTTCTATAATGCAGAACAAAAACGACAAGAAATAAAATTTAGGAAACTTGCACAGGAACAAAGAATTTTGCACAAATAATTTAGTCAGTTATTAGATCCTATCATAGAAACTACAAGTCATACTTTAAATTTATTTACAAAAGCAGGATCATTGTCAGGTAATGATCAATTTTTTTTAAATAAATGATGTTAACTACCATTACTTATAAAAATTGTTTTATAGAATCTTCATCTCTGTGTTCTTTAGATATTATGAAAGACGCGTAAGTAAATTTACATTTAAAGAAATTAATAATTATATAACCAAAGTTTACCAATTCAATACTTATTCAGTTCCGAACTCATAAAAAGCGTTAATTATTTGAACAATAATAAAAATTTATCGACTTCATTAAAGCATACTATTGACTTTTTGCCAAATGAAGAGACTAGTAAGTTTAAATTTAAATTGCTAAATAGACATGACATTTATTAATAACTTATATATTGCATATAATAGGTCAAATAAAGCGCAGAAAATTGATTAACTATGATGAAACAGCCACGCGTGAGGGTAATATATTATTTTACTTTTAAATCAACTCGTTACCTAATTACAGTATTGATTATATAAATTAACGAATGTTCCTCTTATATAAAAATATTAGAACCAAATTTAGCTAAAAATAATAGTAAGTACGTTACATATTTTATAAATACGATTAAAAAGTCACTTAACATTTAAATATTTACATTAATAGATAAACCGGTATCATATTTACCTAATCTAAGCGAAGTTATGTCAAGTGATGATGGAAAAGCGTGGGCCGATTATTTATGCGGAGATATCGCAGTAACTAAGATAAACATAAGTAATAAAAGTCTAAGCTACGGTGTAGCCAAAGGGCTGATTATAGGCTTAGGCAATAATGACACCCTGACAGATTTAGATATAAGTAATATTATTATAGAAGCATCAGCAAGAATACCACTGTTCAAGGCAATATTCAATAATTCCAGTCTGACTAATTTAAATATTAGTCGGAATAGGATGGAAGTATTGGAAGTAAAAGCATTGGCTGAGGCTCTATGCAAGAATACCACTCTAACTAATTTGAATTTGCAAAGTTGCAATTTAAGAGAATCGGCAGGAAAAGCACTGGTTGAGGCTCTATGCAAGAATGCAACCCTGACTAATTTGAATTTACAAAGTTGCGATTTAGGAGAATCGGCAGGAAAAGCACTGGCTGAGGCTCTGCAAGAATACCACTCTGATCGAGTTAAATATGAGTTGGAATAGTATAGGAGAGTCGGCAGGAAAAGCACTGGCTGAGGCTCTATGCAAGAATACCACCCTGACGAATTTGAATTTACAAAGTTGCAATTTAGGAGAATCGGCAGGAAAAGCACTGGCTGAGGCTCTATGCAAGAATACCAATTTGACTAATTTAAACTTATCTTATTATAGTATGGGAGAATCGACAGGAAAAGCACTGGCCGAGGCTCTATGCAAGAATACCACCCTGACTGATTTAAGCTTATCTTATAATAGTATAGGAGATTCGACAGGAAAAGCACTGGCTGGGGCTCTATGCAAGAATACCACTCTGACGGTATTAGATATATGTAGTAATTTTATAGGAGAATCGGCAGGAAAGGCATTGGCTGAGGCTCTATGCAAGAATACCACTCTGAAGGTGTTAGATATAAGTGGCAATTTTATAGGAGAATCAGCGGGAAAAGCACTGGCCGAGGCTCTATGCAAGAATACCACCTTGACTGATTTAAACTTATCTTGTAATCGTATGGGAGAATCAGCGGGAAAAACACTGGCTGAGGCTCTATGCAAGAATACCACTCTGACGGTGTTAGTTATAAGTAATAATTTTATAGGAAAATCGGCAGGAAAAGCACTGGCTGAGGCTCTATGCAAGAATACCACTCTGACAGTGTTAGATACGTGTATGAATTATATAGGAGAATCGGCAGGAAAAGCACTGGCCGAGGCTCTATGCAAGAATACCACCCTGACTAATTTGAATTTGTATGACAACAACAGAATAGGAGAATCGGCAGGAAAAGCGCTAGCTGAGGCTCTATGCAAGAATATCACCCTGAAAATTTTTAATTTGCAGTATAACAATTTAGGAGATTCGACAGGAAAAGCACTGGCTGAGGCTCTATGCAAGAATACCAATTTGACTAATTTAAACTTATCTTATAATAGTATGGGAGAATCGACAGGAAAAGCATTGGCTGAGGCTCTATGCAAGAATACCACCACGAAAGTATTAGGTATATGTGGTAATAGTATTGGAGAATGGCAGGAAAACACTGGCCGAGGTATTATACAGGAATAAATACCACCAGAATAAGCATAGAAAAAATTGAAGCATGTGATTTATTTCAAATAAATTTTGCATCAAAATTTTTGTTATTGAAATAAAGAGAATTTTTATAATGATGGGCGAATTAAGGGCGCAGTAACATGCGTCACGTAATTAGCAATCATGTGGGAGAAATAAATGGGAAAATGTTTGTGGGAAATTAGAGTAAAATGACTTATTTAGTCATGCAGCTAGCAAAGAAAAATGATAACATGTACAGTATACGATGTGCATTGACATTTGGTATTCTAAATAAAATTTTTAAAGTAGAAACTCTTACCTGCGTTACCTGTTATATCTGTTGTGCGCGTACTTATAACTCTATCACGTGACCAAACGAGCCAGAGTTTGTCTATAAGGATTGGAAAAGTTCTAGCAACTAATCGGGATTCAAAGTATTAGCAAGATGCGAAGTTAGCAAGCGACAGAAGACCGGTCAAATCGATAAACACAACAATAAAAACGCATACCTCATATCGAAAGTCCCTGTAAAAATATGTTGATTGGTGTAAAAGAAAGTCTAACATACGGTTCCTTTTTCGATTCATTTGAGCTAACTTTAATTAAATATTCTTGAAATTCATTAAATACTTTTATTCATTGTCATAGTTCGTTTTTTATAACCTACTTGAATTTGAATTAATTTTATATGATTCAAATTAATTTAACGACCTAAAATAAGGTACACTATAAGAATGTAACCAAAACCATTTCACAAGATTTACGAATAACAAAAATCTCATTTCACGTTATTTTACAAAAAACTAGCACTCAACGTAAATGCTAAAAAATGGTAGTCCTATAAAATTCGGGTTTCACTTCTCGCTATTGAAAATTTTTTTGGAATAATATCATAATCTTGAATGATGTTAATATGGATGACATGCCTGCCTTATTGTAATCAAGAACAGTAGGAAAAGGCGGAAATAGAGCGGATAAGGTAAAGCGCTAATATCAACTACATTGGCCGGGGTCACGTGTACTTTATAGCTGAGGCGCGTTTTTGATAGATCGGCAAGTACACATTTTCATTGATACCCTGAGATTTATCAATGATATCAAACGTATAACCATATTTCATCTTTAATATTTCATGATTCTTTATTCTCCTTCTATAATTAGGCATAACTTTTTTATAAACTATTCTAAGGCCATCTTTTCTAATATGTATAATAGCATTTGAAATCTAATGTAATGAATTTCTCATTAATTAAAGTACAAACGATTTTGGAATTTCAATCGTGCGTTTCGTAAAGAGGATGATTTACAATATACCATTCAGCTGCTCGGCCAAAAGGACCAAAACAGTATTATCGTTATTGTAAATAATTCTAGTCTCATAAGACATATTAACAAGTGAAGCGAACGGAAACCATATTGTACGCATATTATATAATCTCTAATTAATATTGTGTATCCCGATAAAATCAAATTTTATCCACACGTGAAACACCACGGCGAATACGCACTTGTTAAGAGACTCGATCATAACATACAGTATTTTGATGTAAAGTCCAATAAAACGTGAATGTGAACGTTTAACTGTTTATTCCTTTTATATGTTACAAAAGAATAAAATTATCATAACCACCTGTTAATAAGTATTCTCTTGCTTTTGTATCCTTCCAAGAAAGATTATAAACTCCTCCAAGAAGATATATAATGGCCAAGCAGTTATAATAGACTACAGCCGCACCATCTCGATTTCTATCTTGTGAGGTCACACTATTGCAGTAAAAAACCGGTACTGTATGTCCCTTTAAGATATGTGTAATCTCTAACGGTTTGACATCAAAAAGATAAAATTTATAATACCACTCATTGTGGATCTGTCTGAAAAATTGAATGTCCTTTGAAAATAACACTTCTTATATTTTCTCCTATAAATTAATCGTAA